TATATGTGTGTGTGTGTGTGTTAGAGAGAGAGTATGTGTGTGTGTGTGTGTGTGTGTGTGTGTGTGTGTGTGTGTGTGTGTGTGTGTGTGTGTGTGTGTGTGTGTGTGTGTGAGTCTCACAGCTTGGACCCTCTTCACGGAGGCGATGCAGATCAAACAGGTCAGAGCTCCTGATTGAAACAGATCGTTGACGTATTGACCGGTCCGGAGGAGAGCCGACGCATCGCCTCCTGTAGAGAGATTCATACAGAAGTTATATTTCAATCAAACAGAATTACTCGTGGTTAGGGTTCAAATGAAATAAAATGTTTCAAAAAAGACAAGAATAATATTGGTATTAAAATAAAAAATATGCACAAAAAAAACCTACTTATATAAAAACATTTAATTATAAATATGGTCAAGGTATTAAATGAATAAATAAAAAGTATTATTGAAAATATATAAATGACTAGTGGTATTCAAACAAAACATATTTTGGGTGTAAAAAATAACAGTGTATTTAAATGATCTTCAGGGTATGCAGTAACTAATGCACTGCATTCAGCAGCCTCCAGGTGTGAGTCTCACCTGTCTGGTCGGTGTAGGTGGTGAAGGTCGAGGCCAGGATCTTCCCTCTCTTTCCATCTTTATTATCCACCTCCACTCCTTCATCATCATCATCATCTTCATCCTCTGAGGAGGAACTGAGCTCCACCAATCGCTGAGCAGCAGCCTGGTTGGCCTTCTTGATCTCCTCGAACTTTGATTGGACCGTCGCACCTGTCAATCAAACACAGGGAGTGTGTGTCAGCCAATAGGAACGCTTCTTTTATTTTAATTACTATATTAGTTTTCTCACTTTGTGGAGGCTCAGGTGTCGCAGCGTTCTTCATCTTCCCTCCTCCTCCTCCTCCTCTTCCTCCTCCTCCTCCTCCTCCTCCTCCTCCTCTTCCTCCTCCTCCTCCTCCTCCTGCCCCCGGCCTCTCCCTCTCTTTTTCTTGGGGGCGGGGCCTATCTCCCTCCTGACCTCGGCCACGCCCCCTTCCCTGCTGTCGCCATGCAGGCTCCATGGCAACCGCCTCCCAAACTCTACGGGTGAGGAAGGAGACACACACAGGAAGTAGGGATTAATGATTATGACACATTAGTAGATTTCCAAAAGAAACAAGAATAAAAAGGTAAAGTCAAATCAGGCCACATTTAAAAAATAATATTTTTGTTGTATTTATATAATTTTCACTTTTTTACTAGATTTACAAGCATTTGTTGTGTCTGATTTTATGTTGTTATTTATGTGGTGTGAAATGTGACATTTTATTTGTTTAACAAGTGCTAAGATATCAAGTTCTGTCTCATCATCACTTATTCTAGGTTTGTACACAACTAACTACTTTTAGGCACAATTTATATTTAATGTAATATTCCCTACACTCACGTCAGGTGTTCAAGAGCAAGAGTGTTGTTTAGTGTAAATTAGTAGATTTCTGAATGAAGTCTGGTTTAAAAAAGTGGAAGAAGATCTTTTAGTTTGTAGTTATCTAGTTATTGAAGCACAGAAGCTAAACTTTAGGAGCCATATGTTCTGTTGTAGTAAAAGCAGCAGAGCAACGGCAAATAAGCATGTTATGAATGGAGTCTGGTGTGCATGATCCGTTAGTGTTTGAAAAAGAAAGCAAATCAGATGGTTTTGGACTGAAGTCTGAACCAGAACAGCAGCTTTGAAATAGCAACTCTCTGACGGATATTGTGGTTCACTGACAGGAGGCAATGACATGTTTCTAGGAGAAGATAGTTCTGAAACATTGAGCTAAAGTCTGCAGACAGTAATGAAATCAGCTGTTCTTATTAATGCAGTCTGGCCTAAGACATGTTTCACCTGTTAGCTTTCTTTACAGGTCAGTTAGTCAGCAGATATTCTACTGGGGTAGAAAACAGGAGATGTTTTGTACCCAGGAGGAGGTCTGTTACTCCGCACTGAAGTCTGGTTAGCAGACCGTAGCTAACCTGGAGTTTGGTGTCGGATCAGTGGGAGCTACTCAACAGCAGAACGATGCAGATTTATGAATGCAGCTTGCAGGTAAATAATGTTTGTTATTGACCGTGCACCGACTCACTACATCATCAGCTTTTTGACTGCATAATGCTTTGTGTTTGAAATGTCCCTCTCTCTTCACATGCCTGGAAATATACTGCTGATTGACGCAAAATAAACGGCACAGAGTTATTTTATAAAGAAAGATAGCATTAAAACATAAGTATGTAGTAGATGTTCAGCTGCAGAATCATGTTTCTTTTGGATCGTGGTAGTCACACAGCAGCCTGTAGATGATCGTGTTGCAGCCTGCTGTGTGTTCATATATGGACTCTGAGCCACACACTGTATATAAAGATCTGTGCATGTACAGAAGGGCATGATTTTAACCCTTTAACACACGCTTTAAAAGGTCACTTTGAGGCTGTAATGGTGATGTAGCAGCTCAACACACTCCAGCGTCACACAGTAACACACAGCCGTATCATGTGCGTGATGATCTGACACAGGACCTTCACTTTTAACCCTTTTACAGGCAGAAATAAGCGATATCTGCAGAGCTAGCTGTTAGCCGGTTAGCTCCTGTAAGCTAACTGTCATTACATTAGCAGTACAAAAGAGGCGTGAACAGACGTCACATCCGGTCAATAACACTTATTAGAATACAAACCATCACCTCAGTTGGTGTTAGTATAAGTTTTATAATGAAGTTCATACAGGAAAGTAATTTAAGAAGCTTTTATGTGTGAAACAAACCTCAGTAGTGTGAAGCTGCAGCAGTGGAGTCTGTTGCCTGGTTGTCATGCGCAGAGCCGCCGCGGTGCATGCCGGTAATTGTAGTCTTTGATACGAATGCGTCTGAAGGTGGCTCATTTGGGTTTTGAGCGGATTAGAACTACAAATCCCAGAAAGCATTGGAGAGGCGCAGCAGTGCGACGTGTCAACGACAACAGCTGGACGTTTCATTCAAATTCTGGACTGAAAATAGAAGAATATTATTTATTTTTACTCTAATTTTTTATTTTTTAAATTGACAGTAAAATATTTATCACAAACTATAAAAATTAAGAAAAAAGCGTTGTATTTTACAGCTCATTAATTAAATGCAGTACATGTTATATTTGTATTTAAAAATAATTGTGGTGATAAAATGTATACAATTAAATAAATATATAAATACAATTCAATTAAAGTTAAATGAAAAATAGTTATTAAAGGTATTAAAATAAAAAAGGTTAAATTAGTAAAAACTCCTAGTTAAAAAAACGTTAAAAAAAATAGATAAATTGCAAGCAGTTATTTAAATTCGAAATACTTATGAATTAAACATAGTAAATTAATAAAAGCGAAGTAGTTTTTCGTAGCTTTAATTTTGCAGCTAGACATTTCACTATTCTTATTTCTTTGATGCTAACTTCCCCCCGTACCTTATTATTTTATCTAATAATAGACAATGCATTTTGTTTTTTTTATGATTTGGAATAAAAGAAGGCTTTTTGCGTATTACTTTAAAAATATGTTTATTTCAGCGCAGTGCTTCCAGAATGAATTGCTTTCTAATGTGTGGCTTTAATGACTTTTTACACAAAATATACATCTAATTTCTTTTGGAAATTTGAGTTTCTTCTTCGGTTCTTTAGGCGGTTCCAGCTCCTTCTTCTTCTGTGGTTCTCTCGGTTGTCACCAGCTTGCTCTCCAGGCGGTGGACTCGGTGCTTCAGTTTGCTCTGCGTGGCTTCGTGTTCGGCTAACAGTCGAGCGTATCGAGTCTGCAGGGCGTCCAGCGAGGTCGTCATCCTCTCCACCTTCTCCTCCATCTCCTTGGGGTCCGGACCCTGTGCCGCCACCTGCAGGACAACAACAGGTATTACACCTTTGTGGTTTTATTTTTTAAAGATCTCCAATCATGCCATTTTTAGGCATATATTATGGGTCTCAGAAAATCAAAATATCAAAATATCTCTCCAACCATGGGACGCAAACTTGGTAGTCCGTTGAATCCTTTAAAGGTCTCCTATTAAACTATTTTTAGGCTTATATTATAGGTCAGATATATAAAAAAGATGTCTATGATGTGTTTTCCTCAAAATACCAAACAGATCAAGCATTTTAGACAACCCTCATATCCCTCTATTTCAGCCCTGTTAGAGAAGTGCTGATTCTGGGTCTAAAGCTTTAAAACAAAGAGTTTCTGATTGGCCCGTGGGTGTAAAGCCCGCCCACATTTCCAATATAACTTCATATCGGCAGCAAATCTGGATCAGCTCCGTTGTTCCCCCGTTTTTAGAGATGTGGGTACGGAGGAAAAGAGAGAGGGTTTTATTTTCACTTTGTGAGTCTCCTGACACACCGGGGGCATTTTTCATGATAGGAGCCCTTTAATATTTAAGTTTGTATTACCTCCAGGTCCAGCAGCCCGTCCTTCATCAGGATCTGCCGTCCCTTCTCCTCCAGTAGAGCTTTAGCGTCGGGGTACTCTGTCAGCGCCTCCATCAGGTCGTCTTTGGAGAGGCAGAAGAGGTCCGAGTACCCGATGCTCCGGATGTTCGCCGTCCTACGATTTCCTGCCTTACTGCCTGTGGAAGAACAACACTAGGGATAAAAACGATCTATATATCTAATATACAATGTCAAATAGCATTGTTGTTAGTTTTAGAGTTGACCTAAGTTTTTCATTGCCATATCTGCACTGTAGCTAATGTGCTAATGACAATCAATAAAACTCTATTTGTACGTTTATTTACATTTTAATAGTTGAGAATCAAATCAAAGTTTGGATAAAGTCGACCTTTTGAGGATATCATCTTTATGGTGGGAATACAATTGTTAGGTCAAGAACATGAGCAAAATGTCGAGAATAAAGTACAAAATTTGGGGGAAAAAGGCAAATGTCTTCCTCTCACTTTTCCCTAAACTCGGTACAGTGAAACCACTACTCTTTTACCTTTAATAGCCAGGATGCTGATCTCTCCGAAGTAGCTCCCATCGCTCAAAACCACAAACTGCTTGATGCCGTCGTCAGCGACCACAGCCAGCTTCCCCTCCTTGATGATGTACATCTCCCTCCCGATGTCGCCCTTCTTACAGATGTAATCTCCGGGACTGTAGACCTGAGGCTGCAGCTTCAGCACCAGCTCCACCAGCAGACCTGCCTCGCAGTCCGCAAAGATACGAACCTGACCAAAGAAACACAAGAATAATTATGTTTTTTGACACTTTGAGGGTTTTTAAGGTGCTGTTTGATGTGCACACCTTCTTCAGGGTGTCCAGATGGACGTTGATGGCGATTTCAGCTCTCAGTTTGTCTGGCAGGTACTTCAACACCTCCCTCTCATCCACTGCTTTCTTATTGGTCCACAGGAAATCAAACCATTTGATCACTCGCTTCTCCAGGTCCTTAGTTACCTGGAAGACAAGTCAAAGATAAGACCCAAACTTACCAACCAACCAACCCACTAACAAACCAATCAATCAACAAACAAACCAATCAATCAACCAACCAACCAACCAACAAACCAACAAACCAACCACCCATCCAACAAACCAACCAACCAACCAACCATCTACCCAACAAACAGTACAACCAAGCAAACAACTACACAACCAACTACCAAACCATTCAACCAAATTACCGACCAACCAACCGATCAAACAACCAACTACCCAACAAACCAACTTACATACTAACCTTTCTGAAGGTCATGTACTGTTTGATTGCGTCGATGCGAGCCTGGAAGTTGGCTCTGGCAGCGTTCATGTTGGTGATCATCGAACCAACGTTACCGACGATGGTGGCAAAGATCAACACACCCACCTGGAGGACAATAAAACAACAAGTTCATCCATCAAAATATCTCTCCAACCCTGGGACACAAACTTGGTGGTCCATTGAACCCTTTAAGCCACATTTACCAGGAAGTCAGTGACGACGAAAAAGTACTCCGAGTTCTCCACAGGGGGCGGGGTCTCTCCTATGGTGGTCAGCGTCAGTGTGGACCAGTACATACTGTATGCATACTTCCTTATCAGGCGACCAAACTCTGGATTTGCCGGGTCGGGATACACAAATCTGTCGGACCCGAAACCTGAAGGGAAAAAGAGGATGAGTCAGACGTTTCTATATGAACAACCCTAAACAAACAACCACTGGAGATTCAAACCAGCAACCCTACCGATAGCCTTGGAGAAGGAGTAGTAGAGGCAGGCGTTCCAGTGGATGATGATGACGATGTACATGACGAGGTTGGAGATTCGGAGAGCGTTCGGGTAGTTAGTCCTCGTCTCCGTCCTCTGGAAGAACTCTAGCATCCTGAAACAAAGAAAAACATTTTAATCTAACTTGCAGAAATCAGGAAATTGTCAGCATTGATGTTTAAAGAAATACTTAACTTTTGATACACAAATATAATTTGTGTATCAAAAGTCACCTTGTGTTAACTTGAATTTGTGAGAAAAGCATTTTCAAGTCAACCAACCAACCAACCAACCAACCAACCAACCAACCAACCAACCAACCAACCAACCAACCAACCAACCAACCATCCAATCAACCAACCAACCATCCAATCAACCAACCAACCAACCTACCATCCAACCAACCATCCAATCAACCAACCAACCAACCAACCAACCAACCAACCAACCAACCAACCAACCAACCAACCTACCATCCAACCAACCATCCAACCAACCAACCAACCAACCAACCAACCAACCAACCAACCAACCAACCAACCAACCAACCAACCAACCAACCAACCAACCAACCAACCAAGCAAACCAACCAACCAACTACCAATGTTGTGTGTACCTGTTGAATCGTAATAGCTTGTTGAGGCGTATCTCAGGGTATTTCAGTCCAAAGACGAAGTACAGGAGGTCGGTGGGAATCATGGAGACCATGTCCAGTTTGAACTGTAAGCTAACCAAGTAGCGCTCACGCAACTTCGGAACTTCCTTCACCAGCAGACCCTGCTCCAGGTAACCTGCAGGAACATGTCGTATCAAAGTTTA